CCAAAGAATTGACTTCCCCTATCCCAGACCCCCTCCCCACTTCCCCATCTCAGTTCAGCTCCCAAAGCCAAATGAGAGGCTGAGAAGTACTACTCTCCCTGGTCTAGCATCCTTACTGACCATGCTGCAACTTGGCTGCTAAACTGATAGCTCCAGACCTCCAATGAACACAGCTCCCTGCGTGAAGTGTACTCAGGAGAGAAGGAGCATGAAGAATAAACCCTGTAATTTCAGAGACCGAGAAAGGTCCTTAATCAGGGCCGGGATAAAGGTCAGGTGCAGACATGAGCAAAAAGGGAGACTAGGATGATAGAACTTTTGAGCTGGAGGGTATCTCACAGACAAGCCAACCCAGTATTTCCTGAAGCGAGCATGGTGTACCACTAGTGTATGCAAAATAAGTTTTAGTGGGACATGGACAGAGCACGAATTAACACTGAATTATACAGGAAAGGATTCCCTTTTCTTCAAGGAGAAAGTCTCCATGGGGTGCTGGTATATCTTTAACAACTCTTTAATATCTGCTGATCTGTTTTTAATTTCAAAGGGAGAGGGGAGAGTGAGAGAAAAAAGAAAGGAAGGGAAGGGAGAGAAGAGAAAGGAGGGGAGCAAATGTCAGGCTCCGGGTTCAAACCCTTCCACAGGCAGCAGTCTGTGGCTTGAATTTAGCAGTCACTGCGTTGTTGCCTTTACACTTGTTTTATTATTACTATTTATCGTGACTGATACCAGTTTTCCATTTGTGATAATGGCGGGAAGTTCTCCTTTCAAATTTAAACATATTAAGAATGTATCAATTTAGACACAAGTACGGTGACAGTGATACACAGGGATGCCAAAAGCGTGTTGCAGGCACACGGATAACTAACGTCAGGGAAACGCTGACGAAGCCCAGGGGCGTTTGCTCCACGGCGAGGGGCGCTGGGATGCAGCCAAGAGGCTGAGGCAGCGGGCGCTAAACCTCCCATCCCTGCTCCGTCCAGCACAGAGCCTCATTGTAAGTGGCCTCTTCCAGAGGCTCTTCTCTGCACAGGATCATTGTTTTTCAAAGGGCAGAAATTCTGCTATTTCAAAAAGCTTGAAAAGCTCGATCTCACTCCAACTGCCCACGTTTCAGGTGGGAGACTAAAGGCTAGAGAAGTAAAATGCGCTCTCAGCAGCCCCAGATCAGCTGGGAGTGAAAGTGAGAATAAACAGCTGGTTCCCCTGATCTCACAGCGTCAGGGTGGGGAGACCAGAAGGCAGAACGCTGAAGCCCAGCAGGCCAGGGAGGGTCTTGTTGGGCCAGACCACGTGCAGCTTCTGACACCACAGAGCTAGGGGTCTCTCCAAGGTTCCTGTTCATTAAGCTAAGCTTTTTTAGGGGCCGGTTGAAAACTTCTCACCTTAAATGAAAATCTTTTCTCTGTCAACTCCCCTCATTGGGCTTCCCCTAAACGAATCAAACTAGTAAGGAAAACTGTCTTTGTGGGAACCCCCAAGGGCTAGGAGAACCAACCTGAATGGCAACCTCAGGGAACCGTAGATAGGGGGATGAACGCATTGCAGTACCTGGGGGGGAGGGTTGGCGGGACCGTGGGAATTAGGGGATCCCAGCAATGTTTGATCGGTTTGGAAAGCAAGAAAATGGTGGGGCACGGGGGAGTTTTGACGGTGTGGGAGGGAGGGAGGTCGTGGTCTTTGCAAGTCACAGTAGCCCCCTCAGAGAGTGTGATGGGTTGGGCTCACCAACAAAGGGAGGGTGGAAACATCTTCTACCACTGCAGAAAAAACAGGAGGGAGGAAGGCGAAAAGAACACACGTTGCACTTGGGAAACGAGACTGTCATTCAACAGTGACACATTGAAGGCACCACCCACGCTTATGACATTTTCAGTTCAAAGCAGTTGAAATTCGGCAGCGGCAGCAGCAACAGGCTGAAAGGGGGAGGGAGGCGGGGATAGACAGTGAGTAGAGGACTGGTTTCTGTGTCTGTTTCTTGTCTCGGAGGCCAGATGGGAAATGCCAGAAATCAGAGGCTCTGGTCCCCTTCCCACCTCTTTGCCAACGTTTCGGCTGTGAATTCTTTTTCTTTGCTTTTCAATTCATGTCGTTGTTGATTTCCTTGAGTCTTGAAGATGCTGGACAAAAATTAATTTGCTGTTCTTGTCTGTTTTGTAGTGGGATTGTATTTTCTTTAAAAAAAATGTTAGTTAAGACTCTCTGGACCCTCTCCCCGCCATGAAATCTTACCCCTCCCATTTCCATGGTCATGGTCTTTATGGGAGTTCTCTAAAATGTCCTTTCTTCCCCATCACTGTCGGTGGGTTCAAGGTCTATTCATTTTTTGTGAGTTTGTGTGTGTGTTGTTTTTTGCTTCCAACATTGGTGATATGAAAGGTCCTGTAAGTAGCATGGTTGGGGTCCGGTTACTGTCTCACTGCGCATCCAAATTTTGTGCCCACCTCACTACTTCCTGGGATGAGAAAACGCTCATCACGGGTCCAGAGTTTCCTCCGCAAACGTTTCGTCTTCTCAACACCCCCTCATCCTCCCACCTTGGCTTTTCCGCCCAGAAACAGACAAGGCGTGGTAAATGGTGTATGTGCTCAAAGGGACAATTTCTCTAAATTGTGCTACTGTGATTTTTTCTCACCATGGATTTCAGTTTCAAGTGAGGAGGGAAAGAAAAGTCAGCCCCACGGGTTGGGCACGTCGAGTCGGCCGCCTGGACCCCAGAGTCGAAGGAGGGTGTCGCGGCGCCCCCTCCGCTGTATTGCTGCGCATCCACGCTCCGTTCTTGCCCAGCTGCCCGCCGCCACGTGCTTGGCGTGACCCGGGGAAAGCGTGGCTCCGCGTCGCCGGCAGGTTTGCCGTCGGTGGTGTGGAGAGTGCGTGTGGGTGGGTGTGCGGCCGGGGGGCGGGGAGGGGGTGGGCCGGGATAGTTTCTTGCCTCTCGCGGCTGAGTGTGGTGTCCAGGACGTCCCCTGGGGTGGCGGCTCAGACCGTCACTTCTGTTTTGCTGTTGGTGATGAAGTATGGCTGTGGGGGTGGGTAGTGCTGGGGGCGAGTCCCCAGGGGGTCGCCGGAGCCCGACTCGGCCGCGCCCAGCCTGCCCCTGTTCCCGTAACCCTGCCGCCGGAGGGGCTGATCCTTGGGGTCCCAGCTCTTAACGCTGGCGGCGGAGCTGTAGGCCAGGGGGTGCGGGGGGGGCTTGCTGGCGCGGGACTCCTGCCCGTTCTGCTTGGCGGGGCCGTGCTCGGGACTGAAGGCCCGCGGCTCGTCCTCCGCTCTCACGGGGTGCAGGGGCAGGTTCCCCTTGGCCGCCAGCTCGGCCAGGTGCCGGCGCTTGGAGTAGAAGTCGTCGTTCACCTTGTCCGCTGTCCGGTGGGTCGGGGAGGGAGGGGGACGAAGAAGGCGAGGAGAGGGCAGAGACAGAGAGAGAAAGGAGAGAGAGACAGTTAGGGACCGGCAGGTCAACCCAAGAACGGCATCTAAGTGGGCCAACAGTCCAGACGAGACACACACTAGAAACTCCACCTGGAACAGACAGAAGGAAGGAGGACAGGGTCATATTCTCTCCACAGACAAGAGCAGGACCAGAAGGCGGGCGAGGGCATCCCCAGAGGAATCTCTAGCTCCCCTCCTTAAATCCTTCTTCTCTCTCGCACCTAGCACTCCTCCATCTCGCCTTTCTTACAGAGTGCAAATATTGTCTCATTACGAAAAGGATGCATCCTCATTACAGAAAATACAGAATGTGTTGAGAAATATTCCTCTCCATCAGCCACCGCTCGAGACAGCTGATGTCAACACTTGGCTGCATTTTCTCCAGGTTTTCTTAATAAACAGAGTTTCATTTGGGGTTTGTATTAGAGCATTGGTTTGCTTTTGTTTTTGCTTCTACCTGTGTTCGCCTCCCAACTCTGCCACCTACTAGTGGTGTAACTTTGGCTAAATAACTTTCATTACCGTTGGGTTCCGCATAAAGACAGCAGTGACAATAAAAAAGCATATTTCGTAGGATTGCATGGGGGGTAAGTGATATGACGTATGTAATGTGCTGAGATGTTAGCACCACCATTAGCATCATTATCATTATAAATAACTGTTGAGTTTCTCATGCAACATTCTAGCAAGCAGTTCTTCACATTGTTATAAGTTGCCAGCAAACAGCATTCCAACACCTACGTGATATTTCAGTGAGCGGAGCAACAGAAATTAGTCAGTCGTCAGGCTGATGAGCATTCAAGCTGCATCAATACATTGCCGATACGAATAAAGCCGAGATGAGAACCTTCTAGACCAAAGCTCTCTTTGTAGTTAGAATCCTGGGTGTAGCATAATTCTAAAAATACTTTCAAATCTATACGAGAGAATGGGAAACTATAGCCCATGGGTCAGTCTAGCCGCCACCTGTTTTTGTAGATGAAGTTTGACCTGAACGCTGCCACGCGCATTCTCTTCCCTGTTGTCAGTGGCTGCTTTTGCTCTGCAACGGTACATTTGAGTTCTTGCGGCAGAAACTGCACGGCCCACAGAACATGAAATATTTACTATCCAGCCTTCAAATGGATTATCAGAAGTGGAATTACTTGGCCAAAGGGTGTAAACATTATTCAGGCCCTTTATACATATTGCCAGCTCTGCTACAAAAGCATTATGCCAATTTCCACTTCATTCCCCACACGCTAGAGCACGGAGTGACTTTCTTTCCCTCCCTCCCTCCCTCCCTCCCTTCCTCCCTTCCTTCCTTCCTTCCTTCCTGTCTTTCTTTCTGTCTTTCTTTTCCGTTCCTTTTCTTTTCCTTCTTTCCTTTCTCTCTCTTTCCTTTCTTCCTCCTTTCTCAATTTATCTGATACTTTACTGAGCCCTTCTTTTCTTTTATTTTCCCTCACAATTCTTTTAGTAGAAGATTTCCTATACTTGCAAAATTAATTTCTTAGTGATAAGCCTTTGAACTGCCATCCCCCAGGAGTCCGGAAATATTTGCTGCTCTTTTATGCACATTTCCAGCGCCCCTCACTGTTTACATGAGTGAATTTATGTAAATCCCTGGAGGTCACTGCCCTTCCATGTTTGTTTTCTCATTTGATCCTTCCAACAACCACAAGAGGTAGGAAAGATGGGGATTATAACCTCTGCTTGACGGATTAGGAGACTGGTGAGCGGAGGCAGGTGGAACGATTTCACTGCCGTCACCCACAGCCAGTGGGTGAGCCAGGGTGGAGCCTAACTCCAGTCGACATGATTTGATGCTTTCGAAAGGCCATAGAGGGAAAAGCTTTGTTTTTGGGAATGAGTGGGCAAATCTGCCCCTAACTTGCCCACTCTGTGTCCGGGGCAGACATCACTCTTTGATCACAGCGCTGTTTCCTAGCAAGGTTGACCTCTGCTGAGACTCCCCAACACAACAGCCCAGCAAGCCACATGGAACTTTCCATGCTTAATGCAGTTTCAGTTGGGTTTCTGTCCCTGTTAATGTAAACAGCCTTAAATAATGCAATCTTTCAAAAGAAAGTCCCCCCTTCCTTCCATTCTAGAGCCGTCTGAAGACACAGAATATCAGTGCCAAGAGGAACTATGGAATAGCTCCCGACGTGGGAAGACCACACATTCCTGAAATATGATGCACTGCTTAAGGTGGCATGAGTTACATTCAAGCCGATGTTAGAATCGTATCTTTCTGCCTTCCAGAGGTCAGTTCAGGGTTTCCAGTGTGACGATGTTTCAACAGAAGAATGCTCTGACATTCACTCTTGGACTTCAAAGTTCATGTACCCAGCTCCCTCCAGGACAGATGCACTGGGATCTCTCACTCAAGGGGGCCAAGCCTGAATCCATCAACATCACTCACCTCTGTTCTCCAGACTCGTCCTTCCCTCCTGTGGGAACACCAACTCTCTAGTCACTGGAGCCGGAAACATGGGAGCAGTGGCCGACGTCATCCTCCTCGTCCCCCCAGCACAACTGCCAACCCACGGGTCCTTCCTGCCATATCTACCAAAGGCTTCCAGAACCTGTCCCACGTCTCCTCGCTGCTTTGAACACTACTCCACTTCCACCACCAAACTGGCCCCTCTCCCTCGAGTTTCACCTCCCTCAGTCCAAAGGCATACTTCTAAAATGCAAAACTGACCATGTTACCCATCTACCAAAACCCCTCAGAGCAATTTTGTTCAGTCATTTAGTGATGCATCAAATGGGCGTGGGCCAGGTGATAGATACTGGAAATCTAAGGAAGAATCAAAAACAGACAAGGTCCCCGTCCTCATGAGGGGGACATTCTACTAGGGAGGGACAGAATGTGACCAAATAATCCGCTAAGTCACAGAAAAGGAGACCTACCGTTAGTGCCGTGAACTATCCTGTCTTATGAGTATTTATAACAAGGTCTCTGAGCTGGTCGGAGGACCAGATGCCAGAGATGAGGTGTCTCCCCTCTTCATTTACACAGGTGCTCTGTTAATTCATCTTTCAAGACTAAGCTAAGGTGTTACTTCCTGATCTCCCCACTCCCGGCTCCCTCAGCAATCTCGGCTCTATCATAGCACTGACTCTACCGTCTTATAATTTTCCACTTTCACATCTATGGGCTCTCACTGGACCGTGAGGGCTTTGAGAGCAGGAACCTAATCTTTCCATCTGTGTGGCTTGGTGGTTCTCCATCCTGGCAGCGCACGGAATAGCAGGAGAGAGCTGTGACAGCATTCAGACTCCTGGATCCCTCCCCCAAACAATTTAATCAGAATCTCTGAGGATGTGGCCCAGACACAGGTTTTTCTTTAAGCTTCCCAGGGTGATTCTAGTGTACAGCCAGAGTTGAGAACCACAGGTACAGCCCTGGCGTCTAGCATGGTGCCTGCAAAATAGTTTTTTTTTTTTGGCGGGGGGGGGGGGTGAGAATTAAAAAGAAGTGACTTCCCATCTTACTCCGGCTAACCCCAGCTGCCTGCCCGCTCAGGTACCCCCTCCTTTCCAGGGAGTCTGACAAGGTCAGGTCCCTCCATAACAGGCCCTTCTCCAGGGCACGGATCATAGCTGCCTTTTTCCTCTGTTTACGTAGTTCGTTCATTACTGTCTCTCTCTCCCACTAGAGTTCCAAGAAAGTGAGGCCAGGTCTGATTTTTGCCCACCATTGCATGAGCAATGTCCAGCCTAGTTCCTGGCAGATATTAGGTACCCAATAAATACTCAGTGAATAAATTATGCACAAAATACAAAGCACAGAGACTAGCAGGACCATAGCAGGAGTGGAAGCTCCTTTCCCCCTTTCAGTCTCTTACTGAACATCGCTCGCCGTCACTGTGTGCCCCGGCGTGATCCAGAACCGTTCATTCCCACATTCCTCTTTCTAGATGATGGACTAGTCTTAGGTCAGCTCAGAGCAGGGGCTGCACTTGAGGGTTCCTGTTTCTGACAAACAAAGGATATTGATTGTGATGTTGGTGTCCCAACAAAAAGGTTCTAAAGAAAGACAGTCGCAGGCATTCAACTCTTGCCATATCACAGTGGGTAGAGGGAGAGGCCCCCCGTGAAGAGGAATCATGAAGTCCCACGTGGAGAACCTACAGCTGCTCCACAGCCAACCCTGAACTGGTGCCTTAGTGCACCTGGCACTGGGCACCCCCAGAGCTTGATACCTGGGGTAGGGGTGGAGTAGACAGAGAAATCTATAGACTCTGGAATCGGACAGACCTGAGTTTACGAGGCCTCAGGAAGGTCACATATCTCTTAGACCTCTAGTTCCTTTGGTGTAAAATGGGGATAATATTGCTACTCTCAGGTTTACTGTGAGGAATAAATTACATGAGACATATAAGCTTTATAGCACAATTCTGAAAGAGAGTGACTCTTCAGTACATATATTTTGCCTGTCTCCTGGCTTATGAGAGGCACTGGATTAAATCCAGCAGACATTTACTGAGCACTCACTCTGTGCCAGACAACCTGCTAAGCACAAAAGAGGCACTTATCCAAACCAAGCAGCCTTCCTGCCTGCCTTCCTAGCTCCCCTCCACCTGCCATGCATGTTGAGTGCCTAGTTTTTTCCCTAGGAGATGACCTAAGAAGGGACTTGATCTGTTTGGGATGAGGGGCTACTGAGGGAAGGCATCCTTGAGGATGCTGTTTTAGTTGTAATCTGAAGGTAAAGGGTAGCAGAAACAGCATGCTGGCGAGGGCACACAGGGTGTCCTGCAAAATGGGCATAAAACTCTGCAGTTCCCTCCATCAAGAGGTGGAGTCTGTTTCACCATTCTTTGAATGTGGCCTGACCTTGTGATTGGCTTTAACCAGTAAACTACAGCAGAAGGGATAGCAGGCACAACCCAAGCCTGGGCTTTTAGAAGTACTTCAGCTTCTGCTATCAGGCTCTTGG